AAATCCTTGCAAAGCATCTTAATGTACATATCACAGCCTGATTATGCAAGTATGACATGTAGATCAACATCCTTAGTTGTTAACATTGAACTGAAAAAATAATAATAATAATTACAGTGCATAGAATTCAATATGTACATTAGCTTATCTATCTATCTATCTATCTATCTATCTATCCTGTCTGTCTGTCTGTCTTTGTCCATATGACCTATAAACCTTCAAACTCCAAAGTGTCAAAGTTCAAAAGCTTTCAAAGTTTTTAATTAATTGAATTTTAGTTTTTAATTTTGCTTCCCTGCATTTAAATTGCAGTTTTGCATGCTGTTTCTTACCTCAATTCCAGTGCTATTTTTGTATTATTTATATACTATTACAGCATTTACTCATATTTTCTTTTCTTTTTCTTTTTATATTTTCATTTTTTATTTTAATTTTAGTAATTTGTTACTCACTTTTGTCATTGTATTATTTTGTTGTTTGTATTTCTATATAGCTTTAATTTATTTCAGTTTTAGTTGTAGTAATTTTAATACTTAAACTTATTTTATTTCAGTTATTTGACAAGACAAGAAGACAAATGATTTTTCCCCCCAACAAAATCAGATTGGATCCATAGTAAATAATCAGTCTTTTAGTAATACAAACATGTGTTTTACATGCTGTTTAAAATTCTATCAATAGCATAATTCATTATTTTGCCGTCTTTAGCTGTCTGAAATCACTGTGACTTTGGAGAGATAGGAAGTGACATCACAGTTCACGTCTACCACAGCGTTCCATTATGTGTGAGTTTCTATTGCCAGACTCCTAATAGCGCTCGGACCCAAAGCTCTTGGCTCTTTGTACAGTACTGAGAATGGAGAAGTGGAGAGCAGCACGTCTATCTCTCCATCTGTCTCAGCTAAAGGCCACCGACACAAAGTAGACCCCACTATCACAGGGATGTATCATTGACTCTTTAGAAACCCTGGGTCCATTCAGCTCAGAGTGAGATATCTGTTCGCGGTGACTGCGTGTGGCAGCCGGATACATTGCGGGACTAACCTTAGAGCACAAAGAGGCTGGAGGTTATCGCAGGGGCAGATCTCTGACCGCTTTGATTTGGTCATGTAAAGAAGAGTGCTTGCAAAGGGCCTGAGTGAGTGCGTCTGAGATTAAAAGAGCCGAATGGGGACCTTCTGCGATGATGAATGGAGCTAGAAGGCTAAAGAGTGAATGTGTCTGTGTTGCTGGCTTTATGAAAGCAAGACAACAGGTACCTGAGAGGATACCGAACGACAGCATCGTAAATCAAACCGAGACACTCTCCCCTCCCCATCTGCGACGTGTCTACACATCTACTGTTCTTTCTTCTCGCTCTTTCTGTCGAGCTTGTGAGCGATTAGCATTGACTAGACTCGGTATCCATCATCAAAAATTCATATTGTTACTTCTGTAAAAGATACTTCACTAAATACATTCGCAAAGAATTATGGGTAATTCCTCTTTCCCTTCCTACGAACGTTCCTCCTCGTAAATGTATCATCTTTTACCTAGGCCTTCATTTTATCTCAGCGTTAACCTGAAGGGACAGGTCCGTCCCATCAGCATGCAGGGACAAGGGCTAGAAACACTCCATCCGTCTCCACATCGAGATTTAGTACTTCATAAACCATTTCCTCCGGAAGATTCACTCCCCGCGCCACCGCGGCAGGTGCCGATTTCGCATAGATGCTTTAAGCGAAGAGACGTTGTATTGTTTCTCACTTCCCTTGTCGCCAAGGTTTATAGGGACTGTAAAACGGACACAAATGGGATGTGCCTTGTCCGTCAAAGCATGCTTTCTTGGTTTTGATGGCCTTACGGACTTTCGCGACGGTTTGTAAAAAAACATCCTGTGTCACGGCGGATGAGATACGTGCTGTTTTGAAACCTGTGTTTTCTTTTTGTGCACTTCAGAGTCGCTGTTTTTATGAGCAGCTGTACTGTTATTTGCAAAGGGATTTAGTTAAATGTCCCACAGGAGCAGCGCAATTAACAAAGCGCTGAGCTGAACCCGACCCGAGGTCATCATTAATATATAACATGTTTAACACGGCTTTGGGCGTGGAGGTTAGAGTGGACAGAAAAAGTAGCTGAGATGAGATGAGACAAGAGGAGAACGGCTGAGATGAAGAAAAAGAGAAAACGAGACAAGAGGAGGCGAGATGAGATGAGAGCAGAGCAAACAAAAGGAGAAAAGGGAGGACATGAGACGAGAAGAAAGAAGAGAGGATGAAAAGAAGCATGAGAAGAACAGAAGAGAGAAAAGAGGAGAGGATATGAGACAAGACAACAGCTGAGGAGAGGAGGCAAGATGAGAAAGAGCATGAAAAAGGAAATGAGACATGATGAGATGAAATTAGAGGAGCAGAGATGAGATGAGGAAAAACAAAAAATAGAGAAGAGAGAGGAGAGGTGAAAGAGAGGAGACAAAAAGAGACGTGAGGAGAAAAGAGGAGAGGAGAGGAGAGGAGACAAGACAACAGCGGAGGAGATGAGGCAAGGAACGAAAATGAAACAAACAAATCAGAACAGAGAAGACAAAATGTGGAACTAGTGATTACCAACTAGTTTTTGATGGGGAGAGGACAGCAGCTAGTTTGACAAGGAGGAATTGATTTGGGGTGCAGTGTTGTTGTTGTTGGAGAGGATTCCCTCCGTTCACATCCATCTTCACTGTCTGCAACTCGGCCTTTTAATTAACAACTTTAGAATCTGCTTTGTCTTCTAAAAGAGGATGAAGTCTAATTGTGCTCCAAATTAAACTGCCTAATGAAAACACGCTCCTCAGCTCATTCATCACAAGCAGCCGCTGCACAAACCAACACTCAGCCCCCCAGTGGGGAAGACACGGCAAAACACCACAAACACTCCCCTCGTGAGAAGAACGCCAACGATTTCTAATGACGATTTGAACTTTGTATTGCTTAACGAGGAGGAAAGGAAGGAGTCACCGATGATTCAACTCACCTCAATTTCACATCTAAGATATCCAGATTATTTTGCAAAGCAGAAGTAAGCCATTTTCGGTGAATGTGCGAGACTTCAGCTGTATCCCGCTGTAATAGTATGAAAAAAGACAACATACTGTACTTTTGTGGTCTGCTCTCCCAGTTTAACTTAAAATAGGCCTATATCCCATGAATAATTAACTGGAATGCACTTATTAGCATTAGCCTACTATTTCTTAGGAATCTCTCATTTTTCTCCCCAAATCCTTACATCTCTTTCCAGGTTTGTTTTCTCACGGATGCTTTAAAATGTAATTGGTTCCACTTTTCACTTTTAATCCCTATTAGCAGTGTGTAGGCTACTGGAATGTTTCTAAAGCAAGTAAACACAATATTTGTTAGGCTATGTCAAAATGACAGAAATCAGTTGGAAATATTATCACTATAATGAACATTTTTAAGAAAACATAATACAGACATATTATTTAACATGTAATTCATAGAGAAATATTATTTAACATGTAATTCATAGAGCAAACCTTCCACTGATTTGATCCACTGACGGAAATGATTAACTGTAATTCGTGCAAAGCATCATGGGGTGTTGGAAAAAGGTGGATAAGTAAATAGGCTAATTAGAGGCTGTAAAAAAGAAGAATAACAGTAACTTACAGTAAGTGCATAAAACGGTAAAACTATTTGCGCTAGAAACCAGTGTGTTTATTATTTCTACAGTACATTAAAGTAATATGATACGAAATGCTGCAATGTCAAGCAGCATAATGAGCTGTTTTGCTAAAAACAGCAAAGCGGATGATACGAAGCGCACACATGTAGTTTACAAATGGCCTCGCGCGTTCTTAGATAAGGAAATAAGGACGTTTTTGAATCATATTTAAAGTCAGTAAGTAAGTGTTAAATAATTCAATGAATAGGGTAGGTAGTCTCAAGCAGGTTCGTGAAACATCCAGACAGAGCCCGGCTCCTCCGGGTCATGAACGGAGAGAGAGGGGGATGTGACGGAGGAGCAGAGAGCCACCCAGATTGAAGGAGGATGGGGCAGGAACAGATTTGATAGCTGTCAGAGTCGTGGTGGAGGCTGACAGTCGGGACGGATGACTCCTGGCGGAGCGTCCACGAGAAAGTGGTTTAAGAACGCCCCTGGAGATGACGGAGCCCTCTCTAATGGGGCCTGCCAATCCGATTACTCTTTATTGTGAGTATGAAGCCTGGTGTGTAATTCAGTTTGAGGAGAACAGAGGGCCACCGTCAGCCTGGGAAAGTTCACACTCGGCAATGTGCAGACACATTTCAGGCACGGAGGAAATATTGCAGAGGATGTGTTGACTTCACCTGGCAGGCGGTGCGGACTGAGCAGGTGGGGAAGAGTATGTCTTTAAAGTTGAATTCCTCTTTATTTTATTCATTTATAAAGCAATTAAAATCTTCTTTTTTAACTGAAAGCTGAAAAATAAAATATAGGTATCAGATGAAAAACTGAAAAAAAAAGGTTTAAGTTGATGTGCTAAATAAACTAAAACTGAAAGAACAATAAATTAAAGCTAAATAGAAATATTAAAAATATTAAAAATGACAAAAGCACAAATCTAATTCAAAATATTAATAAACAGAAAATAAATAATCCTAAAATAACAGATACGAATAAGAACATTTACTGAAAAATCCAGAAAGTGGTTAAATTAGTTTTTAATTTTAATTTAAAATGATTTAAAAGCACTTTAAGCAAACATTGTACAATGGCTTGCAGTGAATACAATAATGTCTTACTTCATGCTAGAACTCCTCTGTTTAATAGAAAATGCACTACATCTCACAAGTCGCCATGTGCATCGTTGCAACTCAGTTTCTGGCATATAAAGGTCCTCATAAACTCAAACTGATCAGCCTTGTTCTGTAGATTTGGACAAACTCCATTTAATCATGCCACATCCATTTCCATATTTTGATCATGCAGGGTCGTGATGAGGTTGGGAATCAACAGTCATAGTAATTATAGTCCATCCTCTCTCATTTGATCCCTTTGACCTTGAGACTTTTCTTCACTGATTTCAAGTACGTTGGATCTGGATAGCCCAATCTGGCACAACAGGAGAGAGGAAATTGTAGAAAATTTAAAATGAATTATTATTTATCCTATTTAACATTAAAAGGTGCACTAAGCTAAAATGGAGTCTGGAGACTTCCGGGGTACCTGCAGAAAATTTGGGATTGTCAAAATTTTCATGTGAACCTAAATGTTTAACATAATGATTTTTTAAAAATTCACCAAATTTTAGTTATTACTTTTTTATTTTTCATTATGGTTTTTCAACACAAATTAACTTAAATTAACCTTTGTAAAAAAAAACAAATAAACAAACAATATAACATGTTACAGTAGAATATTATATTTAAAATAAAATAATACATAAAAAATCTAGAGCATTTGAATCTAATTAAATTGAATTATTTTATATACTTTTTATTATAATATATATTTATTATTTATATTATTATTGTTTCATTTTTCATTATGGTTATAGACAAAATGAATTTTGTGTAAAACAATAAAATATTTTATTCTAAGTTAGAACAAATCTGAATGTTGTATAATTTAATAAAAATAAACAAATGTTTTATCTTTCTATAGGGGAATTTGAAAATATTTATTTTCAATTTTAAAAATTGTGGGAAGAAAAAAAATACAGTTAAAATTAATACTTAGTATTAAAATTAATAATAAGTAAATATTTTCCAGATTTTTTTTTTTTTTAGTAAAGTGACATGTATATTTGAACTCAAAAGAACTGTGGTGACCTCTGAACTATTATTTGGAATTCATAATATCATATTTCTAATTATAATTATTATATACCTTCCAGGTCCCCCGCTGTCCAGAGTCTTGAGGGGTATATCTGCAGGCATCACACAGTATTCACCGCTGCTATTGACCGCCACAGTGAACAGCAGCTTGTGTTCGAAGGCCTGCTCCAGTAGCCGGAGGATCTTGGTCCCTGTGGTGTTCTGAGGCAGGTAGGCCACAAATTCAGTGCCCTTGTAGCTGTGTCCTGGGTGAGGATGCTTGTCCTGCAGGGCGAGTTACTTTAGTTGATCACTTGCATACTTAAATGAGTCACATTTAAGAACATGTCTCTGAAATGCAGTGGTTTTCAAAACGTTAATAACTTTTGTAGCTTTACGGATTCATCTATATTTAATTTAGAATTTAGTGTTTGATAACTTTTATTAAGTCTAATAAATGTTACAATTTATTAAGTCTAATAAATGTTCAAATATATATATATATATATATATATATATATTCTTTACAATTAATTTAAATTTCAATTAATTATTTAGAAAATATAATATTCTACATAAATTATATATTACAAATGATATAAGAATGTATTTTATTTATTGTATTATTTATAATCATTTATTTACATGCCACAACCAAAATTAACACTTAGATGGGACTATAGTAAAACTGTTTTTCAAGTTATACATTTAAATGTTCAAATTGATAGCTCTCAATTATACTGTAATGCTGAATGCCTATAGTCAATAGCTAAACATTAGGGGGAAAAAAACCTAATTCCTAGAGACATCAGTAGTATCAGTGATACTCGCCTTCAGTCATAAAAAAGATGCAATTAAACAAATATTAAAAATATGCTATCTTTGTTGTTTCTACATTACTTTGAAGATTGAATGTGAAAGTATTGCAATATAAAACTTTAATGTTAGGTGGGATTAATAGTGATTAATTTCAGAAAAATATGTGATTTATTAGTAAATTTTTTAATCCATTGACAGCACTAATATATATATATATATATATATAGCTGCTTAAATATCCTAATTTAACTAAGGCCTAGTCATGGCTTAAGCTAAGGCCTGTCTGTGAAACCAGGCCTAAAAGTATTAATATTTTTAATGTTCTGTAATTGTAATACATGATTTAAAAAAAAAAAAAAAAAAATCTGATGGACACTGTATGAAAGCTCAAGCACAGCGCTTTATAAATACTTCAGGCATTTGTGTCTATTATAACAGGGGATTTCAGTAGTTATCAGCACACATCCGTCAGTGTCTCCATTTGCCCTGTGGAAGTGAATGAGAAACAGCCTGGACAAGATTCCACAGAGCAGAAAGATGGATAACTGAAATGTTTTAGGGTTGTCAGTTATACACTGAAAAGGTGTGTCAATTCACCTTGATACTAAAACAATGTCAAAGTGATACAGTAAAAAATAAGAGCACATCATGAGCTCACCGACTGGATTCCATCATCAAAATGAAAGACGATTTGAATGGTGTCACAGTCAGAATGTCCCGGCAAACTCCGTCTTTCGATATTCCAATTCATCTGCCCTCCATCTGGCTGGTTTCCTTGTTTTATCAGTGTATTCTTTTGATCCTTGACCATCTGTGTGAACAGCCATAAAATATAACAGACACTAAATACACTAAAGAACTAATTTCACTTTCCGGAGCTAATTTTTGATTATTTTTAACTAACAGGTCCATATAGGTGATTGTGGAAGAATGATGTCCGTCTCCAGCTCACACAGTTCACACATGTGTGCAGAGTAACCAGGTATAGTTTATTACATTCATTACTGTATGAACTTGTTCCACTAATGTTTGACAACCACAAAGTGTCCAAATATTTTTGTCTTAATATATTGTTTTATAATTTAAAACCTAAAAAACAATAACGGGAGGGTTGTTAAGGATTTGAGCAGATGAGCATGGCATGTTGTTTTGTTTCATTTGTTTGCACAAGGATTCAGAATGCTTCACAAACTTTTAATGTACATTTTTTTGCATGTGAAATCATGATGGATATTTAATCTGGTGGTTCATTATTAGTATGCTATGAGTGTCCTCATGACTTACGGATGCCAAATACTCACATTATTTGATAGCTTTAGTTCTGTTAAGAGTGTAATAAAAGGGCTTTAAAAGCATTGTTTTTATTTTTAAACATTTTATCAGAATATGAGACAATTGGCAAGTTTTCTATATAATAAAATATCTACTTATATTTTGTATTATTTAAACAAACCATTTAGATGAATTATTCAGTGACTCAACATTTTTGAACTAATTGGTTGAATGAATGACTCATTGACTCATTCATAAAAAACAGTCACTTGTCTCCACCTATTGTGTGTGTGCTGCAGTGATATTAGTTTGTTAAGGTTGTTATTTCTGCGCTGATCTTTCAGGACTGAATTACCATTAATAGTATATAGGGGTTAAAGTATAAAATCCTACAGAGTTATGTTAAGATACTTGCATTCATATAGCTATCTCAAACGATCTGATGAATCTTTATTTTTACAATGCTCGAGAGTATTCTACTGTATAACTTCCCAAACATAGGGTTTCAGTGGCCACATATTTGACTCGAAGTATGTAGAGATCTGTTCCTTATGCATTTTTGAACTAATTGGTTGAATGAATGACTCATTGACTCATTCATAAAAAACAGTCACTTGTCTCCACCTATTGTGTGTGTGCTGCAGTGATATTAGTTTGTTAAGGTTGTTATTTCTGCGCTGATCTTTCAGGACTGAATTACCATTAATAGTATATAGGGGTTAAAGTATAAAATCCTACAGAGTTATGTTAAGATACTTGCATTCATATAGCTATCTCAAACGATCTGATGAATCTTTATTTTTACAATGCTTGAGAGTATTCTACTGTATAACTTCCCAAACATAGGGATTCAGTGGCCACATATTTGATTCGAAGTATGTAGAGATCTGTTCCTTATGACACACCGAGGGGGTTTTCCAACTCTATAAAGTATTATTTAATAAAGGAAGGATAAAAAACAGGTAGTCTGATTCTCAGAAGCGTGGAGAGAAATATCACTCAGACAGCACATGAAGCCGTGGATCTGCTGCAGAGGCTCAGAGTGAGATGAGACCAAAGACTCCAGGCTGAGAAGAGATTGAGAATTCCTGCTTTCAGCACACAATAAATCCACAGACGTGAGCAGAGAGAAGGACTTACTAATCTGCAGACTGGACAGAAGTTTACGGTTTCCTTATGTTTTTTTGTTTTTTTTTGAGGCAAAACAAACAGGATTTTTTTATGACAGTTTTTTTTTTTCTGTTCGTCTGTGTAGATTCTTTTCTGTGTAGAGTCTTTTCTGCCTCTTTGTCACAAATGTGCGCACACACAATAGTCCCTACTTTTTCTTTCCGCTCATACATATTGATTACAAATGCTCAATTCAGCAATGAATTTTTTTGAGGAGCATTATAGAGTCTTGATGACTTGATTAAAAGTGCAAGGAGCTAATCAACCAGATAATTCACACACACACACACACACA